TTTGTTTTTTTTTTAGAGGTTTTTTGCTATAGGGCGCGTGCACTCGCCAGACAGACAGAGAGAGACAGAGAGATAGAAAGCAGGAAATCACCCCCAGGGGGGATGGCCACGCCGCAATCCCTTCTCCTCCATTCTCCCCTCGGGATCTTGGGCACGCACGCACACGCGCCCGGCATGAGTTTAAGCCATCGGGTCTGGGACTTGAACCATGGTCGACTACGTGGGAGTCCAGCGACATAGCCATTACGCTAACTGCTGGTCCCACCTTGGCATTACTTTTGATGTACTTACAAAAATTCAGGTAACCATAAAGAAACACAGACCAATCTGGAGCATTTTCATCACAGTTAAAAAGCTTCTATCTTACCTTTTCCCAGGAACTTCCATGAATGAAAGCAGTGTCCTCTTATTCATTTTTATTATTGTTGTAGTAAAATTTATGAGGTTCTGGAGTTTGAGCATGTAATTTACTATTTTTGACTTATATTGACATTTTCAATAATTTCTCAGAAATGCAAGGTCATAAATGCATATAAATGCCAAAATGTAATAAATCATAGAGCAACTTGAAAGAAAGATTTTCGAACAGTAATATCCTAGAAGCTTATGAGGTGGGAACTTGGTCACACAAAATATATGAGTTTCAAATAAAATACCAAGGCTGTCTCTTGACCCATTTAGAAAAAAGTTCGACATTCCCCCATATGAAATTAGGATAAAATCAGATCCCCCTTATGGAAACCCTAGAGCAAGAGATTTTACATTTAAAGTCAGGATTTAGAGAATTATAATCAGTTTTAGAAGTTATTAAAACCAGCAAACACTGAATATTTAGTACCGAATTCAAGAAAATATTACGGTCTGAATACTTAAAACTAGATTTTACTTAAATTTGTTTTATGGAAATTAAAATCTCCAATAGGAGTAAACCATTCCATACGGTTTTAATGTCAAATATATCCTCATGCTATTGAAATTTAGAAAATTATAATTCCTGAATACTAAATATTACTGGTATTCTTTATTAACCATAACCTTCCACTCTCAATGATGCTTCAATTTTCTGTGGTAAAATGTATTAATATTATATGTAATAATCATCATGTTCAATTTTAGTTTAGTGTTCAGTTTACCTTATTCTCAGGTCCAATGGGTTACTTACTCTGTGAGGTTTGGGTGTCGATGAATTTCTTTATCAAGGCATCAGTAGTTTGGGTATAAAGACTGAGAGCATATTTCAGAGATTGAAGATCTGGGCTTTTCTCCAAGAAATTCTTTTTCAGACCATTTCCTCCTGCATGAAAGTATTGCTAAAAAGAAAAAAAAAATCATTTTAGCAGAGGCATTTAGAAAGAAGTATTGGAGGAAAGTATTATGAATAACACTATATGGTCAATGTAAGGTATGTACAAACAAATAGTACCACCACTTGCCCATTGCCAAGCCATTATCGCCTAATTCAGTTTCTCTAGATTCCTCTATATCACAGAACCCACATGGCCTAAACCTTTTCTTCTCATTCGAAACTTCAAACAGAGTCTTTAAAATGCAGCAGTCAATATCTTTACAGAATGACAAATTTAGGTAATAATTGTCAACACAGTTATTGACTTCTGTTTCTGGAGCATGAGAAAAATATCCATACCTAGGGTTGTCGAAGTTTCACAGGGAAGGGAGCTCCTGGTCATAGATTTTCTGGTCAGTAGTTGAGGTTCTAAGCCAGGTACCTATTGCTCCACCTTCTTCATCATTTAATAATACAATGGTGCAGATACAGGCCAACCTGATGAAGCAGAGTGGTCCTTGGAAATCGAGCACTCCCTGACTCATGTGTCTCACATGTGTAATAAATCACTGAACGCTTTTTATTTTTGCTATTGTCATTCAATAAACTCAAAATATTCCAATTGTTATAAGTAAGATGACTGGCCTACCCTGGGACCCGTGCCGAGCGAGGTGGCGGGAGGGCGGAGGGCGCTGCTGCGGGCCCAGCCGGGCCCTGCAGGGCCCCCGCCACCCCCGACCTGGGGCTCTGCCCGGCGTTCAGCTGCCTCTCCGGGAGGACGTGTGGCCTCCGGATCAGCAAGCTGAAGCTGAAAACAAGGATTGAGAACTTACAACTATAAGCAACAGAAAGAATCTTTAGCTGTCCTAAACCAGTTGAGAAATATATTATATAGAAGGACTTGCTCTACCTGTGGACAGTGAGAAGATAATGGTTGCCAGCCCTGCATTGCCTCAGGGAAGAACAGGAACTACTCTACCATTCTTGAGGAAGCCAGATACCAGAGGATAACTCACGCTGCAGAGCCCCACAACACCATTCCCACTAATCACAAGATGGCTGCTGTGACCCATCAACTGATAATCATACCTG